CTCTTGCTGCCTCTCTTCATACCCGCCTGCCGTACCTGCCATACCCTCCTTTGTTGCTCCAAAGCCCACCCATCCATCCCTTCTCTGTCTTAAAAGATACCAGCGTCGATCGGTTTATATATTCCTCTAATACAACTTATTATTTCCTACTACTATTATTCCTTGAAAAGGAAGGGTCCTCCAGACAGTGAAAGTCTATCCGAATCCGAATCCCGCAACATATCTACAACTCCATGACGCATTTCCATGCTTGATATACGGCCAGTTTGAAACAACGCTCATTCCCTTTCCCGATTCGCCCGCAGTTTGGAGCGGGGGAAGGAAATTGAATTGAAGACGTGCTTGCGTGGTTATTTCTCAGAGTTGGGGATTTTTATAGTAGTTTTGTTTTGCTTTGCAAAAAACTGAGTAAGTCGAGGCTTAATTCCTCTCTATCATACTATCGCCCCACCCCCCTCGGTCGACACTTCATCCTTGGATTGTTCTGTTTTGCCGCTCCTCTTGCACGTTGTGATTTATCCTGATCCCCTGACCAATCCCTGTTTCAACGGTTTCCGCAGTGATCAAGCATTGCATCAGTGGACTGGGCTGGTTGATGTGGCGACTAATTCCCCAGTCTTTCGTTCACCCTTTTCTCCCTTACTATCCTCACCTGATTTCACCCTTCTCCCACTATCAACAAACATTCTGTGTGTTGTCACTGTTGGCTGTCATCCCCATACCTCTTTCCATCATTCTCCTGCAATGATACCCTCGAGAGACCAGAATAAAAGTGTCAATGATAATAATTACTTGAAAAGGTCGTTTGCGCAGTTGGAAGACCCAAGATCATTATACCCACACGACGTCCAATGCGATATCCATAATACGGCAATGTCTATCCAGATGCTTAATGAGTTTAATAATAACATTCCACGGATTGCCCCTACGAATCGAAGATCCCGTTCTCACTCCCGATCAGAAATATCCACCATACAAAATTCTCCCTGTCTTTCCTCCTCATTCCCGGCCTTCATGGCTACTACGTTGGCTGCACCGGATGGGTCAAGTTTCCGTTATAATGATGAGAAAAAAGACAGCTGTTTGGGGCCAAGGAAAATCATGGACATACGCCGCACAGTAGCTGCAGCCACATTGACCTCACCAAACACAACTTCAACTTCAGCATCATCCATTTCCGCTGCCACAACGATGAATACAACACTAGCACACAGCCTCGGCCGTCCCCACACTGCTGTTGGCTCTTCTCTTACCGCTCAACAGGTTCCT